TGTAATATACTCGTACTTCTTCATCACCAAAGGCGCGAAAAATAACGCGTAAAGGGTGAAGGAGAGGAGAAACAACAAACGCTCCCTTCGTCCTTGATGTGTCCTTGAGAGGCGGACTACAGTGCCGTTCTACATTAGCGCGCGCACGTGCGCCTTGCTAGAGACTTCCGTTCGCATTATCAACTGGTTTACGCGCTATTTTTACGTCACCTGCCCTCAGATAAATAATCAAGCGCTCTCAACCCTAATAATATGCCACATCTATTTTCAATGCGCATTCTATAGACTGTCAAGTATCGTATTTAATTTATAGATGTGCGTTAGCTTCGCCGATGTAACCGACTTACAACGATACTGAGATTGGCTGGACACGTGCGAGATTGTGTACTGCGATTTTCATGTACGAGGAGCATTGAGTTTTTGATATTTATGAAATCGATTCGATTTTCCTTGATTTGTGATTCAATGCTTTGGCAGCTGGATAATTTGCGAGTCAAATACGCGCCAAATTCTAAGCAATTATTACAAATTTTGAAAATACCCGAGATCATTGTTGCTTTCAAAAATATTATCACTAAAGTTACGGGGGACTATAACGTGTAATAAGTCGAATCTCCTTGGATCGCGCTTAAAGTCGATGAGCATATTTAAAAAAGACGCAGTTCTTTACTAATCGGAAAACAAAGTTCGAGTCTAACAGAGGCTAATGAATAATTAATTACGGTCCGGGATGGAGGCTTGGCGCTAGCTATCCTCGATGTTCTTCCGCATCTTTTTGGGAGATGATGAGGACCACGCACTTTTGCAGCCACGCGACGTGAAAGGAGACGACGAGAAGGAAAGAGGAAAATAAGCAGAAGTCACGGCAGAGAGAAATTGCACCCTACTGGTACGGGCACAGCAAGGGTAAGCGCAAGGGAGAAGATGGGGTGTGGCCTACACCCTCGCAATTTTAGATTGAGCTCGCTCACTCTCTATCTCTCTCTCTATCTCTCTCTCTTTCTCTCTCTCTTTATTTTTTGGGACCGCCTTCTTTAATAAATGGGCCGAGCAAGAACTTCGCATTCCAGGCATTTGGGCCGCTGATACGAATAAGACTCTCGCTTATTTTTTGCTGCACGCTCACTCTTAATTAAGCTACCTCGATTGCTAATCAGCGCCTGTGTGCAAACGTGCAAGGCATCGATTCCAGAAGCCGAGCTTCCTGACTTCTCTCACATTAAAGAGAATCGAGTGATAATGTTTAAACGTACGTGTCGACCTTTGTAAGAGTGTAGCGTCACAGTAAAATACGGTAATGCAATAATATCTATGAAAAGAGAATAGAATTGACAAGAGAATTCAATTAATCTTGACGATTTCACTATTGACGAATAGTTACTTTATTTTTATTAGACTTTCAATAGTTATGATGTACGGTTTATTGATTATCAAGATAAAGTCTTTGAGTAGCTTACGAAGCCGAAATAGTCATGAATGATATTAAACTAATGTTAAACTCATAATTAACGTTACATTTAACAATTACAAATTGAAGTATTTTTAAAAATAAGAATTGCATAAGTAAAGCATTAACATATGCCTAGAGTACAAGAATTACCTGGAGTATTAAACTCTTATATTGGAACTTTTACCGCACTTTCAAAATCACTCAACGGTATTTAAAGCAAAATAAGCCACAAATTTTAAAGGAATTTAACTAATCGATAAAGAGGCTTAGAAAATAAAACACATAGAAAACGATAGAAAAAAACTGCCATTTTACGATTGCTAAAAATTCGTATAAAAACTATTCGCCGAATACAACATGGCACAAACGGAATTACCAATTCAGCAGCAGAGCAAAGTTCCATTTATTTAAAATGAGCGTTCATTTCGTATAATTTTCAAAATTTTATCTCATATTTCCATAATTGTCGCCAAAAATGCTCAATAATACGTGGCGGTAAAAAGGCACAGGCAACGCCCTTATAATCGTGGGGGAATTTTTCGTGTGGCGTAATCGAAATTATATCTAACACGAGGACGCGTTTGGTCTGGATTACGATGATGCAAAATTTTAAAGTCGGTGCTACGCGAGTACCTGTTTTCTGCATTCTTCGGACTTCTCCGGTTCTCCTGCCTTCTACTGTCTCGCCGCCTCAGTTTTTGTCTTCTATTATTGCGCGCTGAATCAGCATTTGTTTGAGGAAGTCGACGTTCAAAAATTCAACATAAACGCATTAATGCGAAGGCTCTTGAAAATCAAGCTGTCAAAAGCACGTCGATTAAAGTGTATAATAATCGAGGCGCTCAAATAATAAAGGATTGGATAAATCAGCAGGTTTTTAGGTACAAAAATAGTGACATTGCGATATTAGTATAAGTGATTAGTGTAAGAACGGTGGATTCGGCGATGCTCGCTTACCTATACCGAATCAATATAATCTCATTACTGTCCTGATACGTTATTAGAAATATTTTATATACATCGGCTAAGTGTATATATATCTAATTCTCACGTATTAAGTAATACGTTGAAAAAAGAAAAAAAAATACGCTACCAAAATGTATGTAATTCGAAAAAAAAACATGAAAAAACGGTACTCGTTCGTCCAATAACTCAACGTAATTTAAACATTTTTTCTTTTTATTTTGATGAAAATTTTCAATAATAAAGCAATCGTTGTGACGATGATGAAAATATTTTATTTTTTAGTTTACTGCAAATGTCAGTGTGCAAATGAGGAATAGAGACGCGCTTGCTTGAAATGAAATTCAAGTGCTGTCAGACGCATAATTTTATCGCAATTGCTCATTCGCATAATTTTAAATATTCGCAATTTGGAGAATTTATCCGATAACGAATGCCTTAACTCCATCTAAAACGGACGAAGCATTAAAGTAAATCTAAGCTCCCATACCCGTCTTTGAGAAGTGAAATATGCTTAACCTATTTGGCACTCACATGGATAAATAGACTTTTATAATGGGCACGCGCGCCGCATGTGTGTGCGATTTTCCGTTTAGTAGTGAATAACATTACGGATTCGTAATGAAACATCTATAATTGACATGTTAGGCTGTAAGCTATGAAATGAACACTATGAAGGACTTTGAACTAAAATAGAGCCTATCCGAAGGGTTAAGATTCGCGGCAGACGATGAAAAAGCAAGATATCTCTGGCCATACAAACGTTCCAGAAACATAAAATTGAATCCTCCGAAGGCTTGATTCCACGAAAATCATACAATTCAATCCTTCCAGGTAGAGGCATCTCCTAGCAACAGCAACGTTGCATACTTCATCCCTTCCCTCCCTACATAAACGTCCTCGAGCGGAAGACCAGGAGAATTCATGCCAGTGCCAGTAGGATTCGAATGCCCACGCATGAGGGACGAAGCGCGTGTCGCTCTCTGCGGAATAATAATCCTTCTTTCACTCGCCATCCTCCTCGTTACATAAGGGCCGGTTTTTTAACTCCCTTGTTTCGCACTCTATCGTGTTCGTGGAAAGTACGGTAATGCAAGGGTACTTGACCCTTATACTGCGACTGGCTTTTTACGTGCAGAAAATATCTAATATTCATAGTAAGCTGCAAGTCGTGCGATATCGTTGTGCTAATTCTGACATGTAAGTCATCACAACCAGTTGGCTGTGCTCTAAGCTCCGCAATCTCTTGTAATATTGTCGACCGGAATTTCGTCTCTAATTTATTCCACGCGCATTTCCCGCTGATTACTGGAAAATATCAGCACGATTCCACGCGATGAAAATGGACAAAACCATCGTCCAATACGTCATTGTCTCGACATGAAACCGAAGGTATTCCCGTCATTCGCGATCCAAATGTCTTATTATTAGTTGTGGTATCGTGAGTCAACAAAGCAACTTTGGTTTGCCAAAGACATTGTGCCGCGGGCAATAAGAAACGACTGTTCAAATCCAATTGTGAAATTGTAGGAATGGGAACAGAGGGATTTATCAACGATGAGAAACTACTAATTACTTTCTCCCTTCTCGCGTTAGCGTAGGCGCGCTACAGCTGTCTATCAAACATAAAAGACCTTTGAGGTGATAACCATTAGCGGCATGCCTCGAATTTATTAGTAGTAAACTTTCCTCGTAGCTTTGCGCGCTTATACCGAATCCACCGTGTGTAATTTCATTGTATATAATAAGATTATTGAAGGCCATGTGCTTGCGATTTGTTTATTTGATTGTGTAGCTTTACAGATACGAGTACAGATATTGGTTGCGGATAGAGCGTTCGTAGTATAAGAACTATTATGAATTATCGTTGTGGGCTTGCTGTATTAAGCGACCTATTAGTGTATTTTACAAGATATTTTCATTGGCTTATAATGTAAGCGAATGAGTACATGTTGAAGCGTTCAGAGTGAATGGAAATGTCAAAGATTTTTTTGCTTTGCAACTTGGAATTTGCCTCGGCTCGGCTTGGCTCGGCTCGGCTCATCTACCTATTGTTCATTTTAATTCTTGTCTTCGTTTGTTCTGGTATTTATTTTATTTTGTGCATTAGAAAGTTAAAAAATCACCAGTGCTCAAAAATATAATGAATTACTGATAATTCAGGTAAAATTATACGTAAAATGTGTATGTCGAGGCAGGTCTGATGTAATAAATAAAATTGATTTTTCCGATTAACGCGAAAGCAATTCCAATTCAATTCATTCTCAAATTGGTTTATTCTCTCGATACCAAATTTTTCTTTAATTGCAAATTTAATTTCCCAATAATGTCGATTCGTTCGAATGACTCAATGGAGGCCAATTGACAAGATAACTCAGACACTTAATAATACTCCATTAGCCCCATCACTTGATCTTACAGACTTTCACTGTATTTTCCTCGCATAGCCGTATCACATTTACATACACTGACATCGTTTCATTGGAATTTCAACGGCTACTATACAGTTCTTCAATTTTAGTCCCTCAAGGCTAATCACTAATAAATAATCCATGCCACGTATTAAACGCGCTACTTCGCATAAAGTTCACTTTTTCCTCTCCTTCGTTTTTCCAACTGTGGTAATGGATATAGAGAAAGACTCCTTTTCCTTCTCTTTCTTCTGTCTCATCAGCTCCTTCTGCTTCTGTATTTCTATTTCTTTCTTCTCCCTCTCCTTTCTCTTCTCGATCTCCCTTTTCTCCCTCTTCTTCTGCTTTTCCATGTCCTTCTTCTCCCTTTCCTTCTTCTCTATCTCCTTCTGTTTCTCCTTCTCCTTCTGCCTCTCCAATTGCTTTTGATTCTTTATCTCTTGTTGTTTCTCTCTATCCTTCTGCTTCTCTTCCTCCTTCCGCTTTTCCATTTCTTTTCGTTTCTCACTCTCCTTGCGCTTCTCATCCTCCTTCTGTTTATCTTTTAATCTTTTGATTTCTACCTTCTTCTGCTTTTCATGCTCAATCTGCATTTCTTTCTTTCTTAACCTTTCTACCTCTCTTTCCATATCTTTTTCCCGCTCCAACTGCTTCTGCCTAAGTCGGCTCAATTCTTTCTCGCGCTCTTTCTCGCGTTCCCTCTCTTTCCTTTTCAAAATTTCCAGCTCTTTTCGTATATCCATTCCTTTTACAGACATTTTTTATCCCACTTGTTCAGCCACTCATTCAAATATAAATTATTAATGTTGCATTAATTTTCTGTTCTGCTCCTTCTTGTTTCCGCTTCTATTGATTAATTTTCATAGCTAAGGTTTTCGTTGACTTATGTTTTCAGTCTTGCTTCTTGAATTTCTGAAATAATAACATTTCTGAATAATACATGTTTATATTAGATAAAATTTACTATTTGTTATTAATTTTACGCCCAAAATTTTGCAGTTACGCCGTTATCGTTTTATTTCTCACAACGTCATGTTTAAAAAATGTAAACATTTATAATTTTGTCATTCATTTAGAAGAATTTGAACAGATGTTTGCTTATTGTTTAAAATTAATTAGTTTATTTTTGTTATTTGAATCGAAGTAATTAATAACTATTAATGATTAGTAACGTAACGTTTAGTAATATTTACAGGAAAAATGTTTCCAATATATCAAAATATCTTAGCAGATTAAATATACATATTCAGAGATTTGAAATAAAGTAAATATTAAATTTTAAAATTGAATTTAAGAAAATTGTGAATAAAATTATTTCTTAAGTATTTGCCTAAATTCTTTATCACATTGTTACTGAAAGAAAACATCAGAAACAATATTATTAATAATAAAAATGCGAGTGCGGAAAATATTAGCGAAAGACAAGACACGAGATTTGTAAGTAGAATAAATCTAAACAAGAAAATAATTAACATAGGTATCGATAGTTTCATCAGACATCACATTAAGATTCTCCAGTTTGCAAAAAACCGCAACGTAAAAGCTTTAAGACAGTCATACCGTTTCGACAGCTATGACTCTTTAATTGAAATGGAATTTTTCTATATTCCACTTACCCATACGATTCATAATTTTCTATATTTCTATTTTCTAAATGATTCAAAATAATTCAGCTATTCGAAATTCCAAACGTTAAATTTAAAAAAAAAAAAATAGTCTAAAATGCCTTTATTAACTGTAAAGATGTAGTTCCAGTAACCAGTTGTGCATATAAAAATAAAAAACGATTCCCTTTGTGTCTGAAGTCATTAGAAAATTACTTACCCTCGACCACTTATTAAGAAAACCAGATTATCATCACACATTTCTTCTAAAAATTCACTAGATATGCAAGTATTTATCAACGTTTTATAAGATGCGAATTACAAAATAGAATCGAAATAAAGCTCCGTCGAAATGAAGTGTAACGTGTTTTTCTCGGCCCTTCTTCGCGCTCAAGTCAAATTCATGCAAGCGACAGAACCACAGAGAGAAACTTACCTCAGGAAAATAAGGAAAACAGGCCCCGGGGACGCTCCGCTCGATGCTGCGGCTCGCACTGCGGCTCCGACTCGGCCAAGTGCTTTTTTTATTCGCTGTCACCATCGCGATTACCATCCATATAAGGCCGTAGGCTTCGCACCTTTTTCAATTTTCCTATCACGGCCGCGGATAATACGCACTCGCTCTTCCGCATTTGATTCTTAAGACCAAACTGTTGTGACGGGCAGAATTATCACTATTCATATTTAGAAGATGATTCGTCTTAATTTACCAAAACTCTCTCTCTCTCTCTCTCTCTCTCTCTCTCTCGCTCTCTCTCGATTCGACCTTAGAGTATACGTTTATGTAAATGGCTTTGAACTGTCCTCTTCACTCCAGGAACAAAATCGAAAAATTCAAAACAAAAAATAATAATAAAGTTCTGGGTATAATTCTCAAATGTATTCGGTAGACTAATTGTTTGGGAAGATGATGCTGTCTATATTTGGTTAAGATAGATTATATTGAAGTTATAAATTGGCTTTGTCCAGCCTCGCGCCATTATTGAAGGCTTATCTGCAAACTAGCACTACCAGTATTAATAATAAATCAAAATTTGATCCAGTTTGTAATGATCAGCTTTATCAAACTGGTAGAGAGTCCCTATTTAAAGTTACCGTCCTTGAATTCGACGGAAGTAACATTGTAGCCTCGAACCTGTCTGTTAACTTTGTGTTTACATACTCTATGATGAATTATGCGTAAAAATTAACTTGACACGATCATTGAGATCTAATGAAGGCTTAGATTCGTTTATTATTAGATTTCGACAAAAATTGATAATAATTTCTTACATGTTGTCCAATGATTTTTTTAAATATCGAGGGATATGATTATTTTATTTTTAATTGAATTTCTAATATAAATAAATATATCTTTAATTAAATATGCATATAATGTACATAATTGCGTCATCTTTTCTTTTTATCGTATTGTATGTAAGCAAAAATTTTAACAATTTTGTTTGGTAAAATTTTTTTCAAAACAGTCGGCAGATGGTTTTCTTTCTTTTCACAGTTCAGATTAAACCCTTTATGGCATGGACCAAAAAGCAAATAGATTAATCCCCCGTTGAGATCAATGTACTTCGATTATATAACAATTCATATTTAATGTTATCTGACATTATTTGATCCTTTACACTTGATACATTATTCGATTACTTCAACATCATTTTTGAAACTTTAAATAAATAAAAAATGGAAATCTAGTTTTCACGATGAAACGAAGAAAATTTATCAGCGACTGATAAATAATAATCAAATGAGAGAGCTTCTATTCTTGTCGTTTTCTGACTCTTCATAATCAACAATTAGCTAGTAAAAAATATTATATCATTTGATATACAGTCACTTTAGTAAAATCGTATCTTCTACAATTTAAATTTTAATTATCTGATAGAGAAAAATTCTTTAAAGCATTATTTAATGTTATATTTATTTATAATAATAGTAAGTTACGATTTCATTTTCAAAGTCATAATAAAATTGCAAATTCAGCCGGAAGATTTAATTAATTAATTAATTTATTTATTAAACGCAACCATTACCAACGTATAAGCTTAAAAAAATGAATACCATTCTAATTGTTGTAATACATTGACGATTAAATAATTGGTACAATTTATAGATAATAACTTCTCTGTTTAGCGATAGAAAATGTTTGTGGATAGGATAATATTGAATATAAAAAGCTAATGATAGTATGATCAAACGAGGAAAGGGGATGGCAAAAAGAAAAAAGTGTTCGCAGCATTAAATAGTCGTGCTAAATCTACATTGTTTCAAAGCGTTAACAAACGCACGGCTCCGATTTCGTTGATAAAGGAACATGCCAACCGCATTTATATCTTATCGCGTGCCCGCAAACAATTTATTCCCTGACCGGAAGTCGTAATATTTACGTGAGCATTTTTTCTCGACCGCCTCTCCTCATTTTTTTCTTTTCTTAGGCTCTTACGCTCTTTCGAACTACGCGCTTTAGCCTCGCGAGAGGAACTGAGATTATATCTTTGGAAGGGTGAGAGAGAAAGAGAAAGAGAGAGAGAGAGAGAGAGAGAGAGAGAGAGAGAGGGAGAGAGAGAGAGGGAGAGAGAGCCATGAGGCGAATAAACGTCGTTATCGTGTAGAATCAGGAAATTCCTCGTTATACTATGAGGGCACGCGCATATTGTCGTATGTAATCGGTGATACCGTCGACGACGGCGACGAGTTCACGTCTCAATAGCAGCTGCCGTTGCGTCGAATTTCTTTTTTTTTTTTAATAAAAATATCATGTAAATGTTTTCACTAAATTAGAATTTTCACGTTGTAATGCTTTCGCGGATATAAAGCAGAATAGCAACTTCGATGCCCAGATGCTTCTGTTATTTATTGTCTGACTTTTGGATCGTCAAATATATACATTTAAAACATTGACTAATTGAAACTGTAGAAATGATTATATTTTTCTAGAACTTTCATGCTTGCTCTGTATGCACATATATATGTGTGTGAGTGTGTGACTTTGGAAAAAACAAATATAATGCCTTCGCTAATTTGACACACTAGTTATCCGTCATTTATTTTGACTTACACTCGTTTTCAATTCATAGGCAGAAATGCCTCTAATTTTCTTTCATTTTACATTTATCGATATATTTAATAATCACGAGAACATAATAGTTAATAATACCAACAGCACGCATATTCTTAATTGGTTTTTGTGTATTTTATTACATTGAAAATCTTGTTCTTCATTATAATAGTTTAGTAAATGTACAATGTGTTTTGTTTGTAAATTTAAAAATGTGATATCAAGGTATTTGAGAATTTTTTCTTCCATAAATATATAGATAAATGATGTATTATTTATCTGAAATAATAAATGATGTGAACACTTTTTATTTTATACAGTACTGCGTTAATATTTGCTTGACCTTTGAATATTGAATATTTTTTATTTTAAATATACATAAAATGGAAAAATGGTTAAAAAAAATCTTCTTTTACGTATAACGACTTAAAAAGGTTAATTTTTAAATATAAAATTTTTGTAAACCCCATGTATTTTAAAACATATGTATTTATTTTTTGAAAGCAATGATAATTTTAATGGAATTAATCACTTTGTTATAGTAAAGCGTATATTTTTAAAATAATATCAAGTTAAAATTGATAATTTTATATTTATACCTTTCGTCTACAAGTCTTCATAACTATATTTGAACCAATTTTACTCATTCGACATTACGAATTGTAAATACTTTTAACAAAACATCCGATAGTTATAGATTTTAGCTTTTAATCGTGATAAGCATTTTTATATATCCATTTTATACAGGATTATTAAATATAATAAAATAAGCGGAATTGAAAGTGAACCGAGAAAGAAATGGGGTCGAACATTTATTTACAATAAATTTCAATGAATATTGTTCATTTGCACTTAATTATAGGGATAATTTTTATATTGTTGTTAGTGTTTTATAGTGGTGTTGATGATTTAGTCACTTGGAGAAGATATTTTTGCTGGCTAATGAATTAATCGATTACGACTTAACAGATGATATAAAATTATTCTACGTGTGATGAATTAACTAAAGTATAAAAAAAACATATCATCGTTGTCCTTGTGGAGGAATTTTATAGATACCTGACCTATATGAATATTTAAATGAAACATTATAAATGTAGAACACTCACGGTAAGCAATATTAATTTCCGTTACCATTTTCCTTTGTGATAATAAAGACTCTGTGACTTTACGTAGATTTAACAAAGGAAGCTGTTTAAATTTCATTGTTATATTTTAACAAAATTTTTAATAATAGCTGTAATCAGTGAATCACGTAGCGAGATATTTAGTTACGTTATAAAATTACAACAATTCCGTTAGATTAATAAAACTGATGGAAAATCTGATTATAATGATGAAAATGATGAATAAAGAATAAATGCCTCAATTTTATACATGAGAATAATTTAATAACAAGCTTATTTGATAATCACTGTATTGTCATTATCACAATGGAAAATGTAAGTTTTCAACTTGTGTAAAATTACCAATTATAGATAATTAATTCCACGTACAACAAATATTAATATTATTTATAAATAATTTAAAATACGTCGCTGTTTTGATCCTTAAAATCTTATGAAACATGTTTCCGTAAATACACACTTGGAAAAATAGAAATATTTCACCTATGTAATTAATTATATTAGGCTGAACAATGAATGTAGATGTAATTGGATGATTATCATTGAAAGGCGTTTAAATTTTACACATACGTTCCATTCGAAACAACTCGCACACAAACATAATACGCGGCTGCTTTGAGATAAATAAAAAGCAGAAAAATATCGGGCGCTGCATAAAAGGAGTTAGGCAAGATAGATTATACCGGGTGGTGAAAATCGTGTACAACTACAAAATACAAGAAAGTTCATAAAAATGGGAAATGGAAAGTTCTGTTACCATCTAATGATAAGTTGAATAACAGAATTAGCAGATGTTTGTAGTACAATCCTATTTGCATTGTACCGTCCTTTAAACTCACACCTTCCGTCTCACGCGATTCATAGATGAAATTCCAAAAATTGCCCTATTAAGTTTGGTTTAAATTTGAAAAAACTTACCACTAAGACAATGATATTTTTATCGTTATTTATTCTATCTCAAGTAAAATATTTTTCATGATTAAATTTTTATTTACTGTGTAGAGTACTAAGCAAACACTATTACACCATAGACTGAAAAATACGATTTAGTTTATTAGATATAGATGAATAATTTTTTTATTTATAATAACTGCTGTTAAGCTGCAGTAAATCGCTATAATGGACAAATTTCGCAACAGATATGCGACTAGACACCTGAATTATGCAACGTTTTTCCATACGACTATTTATGTAAAAATGCGTGAGTTATTTCATTGGGGATAGAATATGCGCACGAGTTAAAAGACGGTTGAAATTTCTTTGGTACAGAAAAATTTAATGTAGACTTGGCTGACGTGTTCAGCACATATGACGTGGTGTTCGTTATCGCTGCTAGTAGATCACCAGA